GTTCCTCCAGATGTTTTGGACATCAGCTCCCAGAAGCCCAAAGCAACAAAGCTAATGGGTAGGGATTCTGGAAGACAATATGTCCAAAACATCTGGAGGACCAAAGGCTGAGAACCACTGATCCACACCAACCTCCTGCCAATGCAAGGATCCACCACTGAAGCATCCCTGAGAGGTAGGCTTTTGTACCAAAAACTCCCACGAAGGAATCGCCAGCCCTTTTCCACCATCAAGTCAGTATTTAATGGCTGGTAAAGATCATGAAAGGTGATGGAATGCCCTTAAAGACATGATGGGAGTGCCAATACATCTGATAGTCCTGATGAGGAATCTGTCCTTAGGACAAGAGGCTAATGTCAGAACAAAAGACGGAGAAAGAGAAGGGTCCCCAATTGGCAAAGGAGTCAGACAAGGCTGCATCCTATCACCCTCTTTGGTCAAATTGTATGCAGAAAATATCATATAAAGAGCAGGCTTGGATCCAGAAAAAGGAGGAGTGAAAATAGGAGGAAGGAAACATTAACAATATTGGGTATGCAGACGACACCATACTACTAGCAAAAAAAAAAAAAAAAGAGCTCGGAATAATTATTAAGGAAAGTCAGAGAAGAAAGTGCAAAGCAAGGCTTGTTGCTGAACGGAGAGAAAACAAAAATCATGAGCATGAAGGATCTACATAAGTTCAACCTAGATCATGAGGAAATCGAAATAGTAAAAGCGTTCTTGTACCTTGGGTCAAAAATAATCAGAATGGGAACTGCAGTCACGAAATCCGAAGACTGGGAAAGGGAAAGCCATAAAAGAACTAGACAAAGACCCTAAAGGGTAAAGATATACAACTGAGCACCAAAATTAGAATTGTCCAAGCCATTGTATTCCCTATTTCCATGGATGGATGGGAGAGCTGGACAGTCAAGAAAGAAGATAGGAGGGAAATCAATGCATTTGGGAGAATGTGTTTCTGGAGAAGATGCTGAGGATCCCATGGACGGCCAAAAGGACCAGCAAAGGGGTCCTAGAGGAGATCAAGCCAGAGAGATCCCTAGAAGCCAAGATGACAAGACTGAGGCTGTCAGACTTTGGACACATCATGAGAAGGCACAACTCACTGGAAAAGGCAATGGTGCTAGGAAAGATAGAAGGTGATAGAAAGAGGGGAAGACTGAAAGATGGATGGATGGATGGATGGATGGATGGATGGATGGATGGATGGACTCCATTTGGGAGCTCATGGGTATGAATTTGCAAGACCTAAGCTGAGCAGCAGATCTTGGAGATGCCTCCTCCACAAGGTCACCATGAGTCAAGGTTTTGTTAACAACAACAACAACAAAAGTCCTTCCAAATGTGAAAAGTCAACCCATTTGCGTGACCATTTGTGGGTCTTTTAAGGGAGGGCTGCAGCCCCCTTATATGACAGGGATGTGCCAGGAGTTTAAAGCCAAAGCTGTGGACTGGCGGAAGAGGGGGGCATTTTCTGAGAATCTGTGGCTCATTTGTCTCTTTGGCTCCCGCAACCGCCAGACAAGCGTGGGAATGACACACACAACCACTTACAGAAATTACAGTCCCTCGCCTCAAAGTCGTGATTCATTACCAGGATGGTGTCAGCGCTTGCAGGAAGCTGAGAAAGCTGCTTTTTTTGTGGGGTGGAGAGCAATTGGGAAAAGGGGGTTGTTGTTGTGGTGGTGGTGGTGGTGGTGTGCGTTCAAGTTGTTTCTCACTTGTAGCAATACTATCATGGGGTTTTCTTGGCAAGATTTGTTCGGAGGGTGTTTGCCTTTGCCTTCCTCTGAGGCTGAGAGAGTGTGACCTGCCCCAGATCACCCAGTGGGTCTCCATAGCCAGCAGGGATTCGAACCCTGGTGTCTCAGTATCCTAGCTCAGCATCCAAACCACTACGCCATACAAGCACAACTCAATGGCTGCTGTTGGAATCGTTGTTTTGAATTTTTTGTTGTTGTTGTGTGCCTTCAAGTCATTTCCAGTTTATGGTAAGCCAAAGGCGTACCTATCCTGGGGCTTTCTTGGCAAGATTTGTTCAAAGGAGGTTGGCCATTGCCTTCCTCTGAGGCTGAGAGAGTGTGACTTGCCCAAGGTCACCCAGTGGGTTTCCATGGCCGAGCCCAAATGTTGTGTCTCAGGTGCACACTTTCCTGGTGATAAAGGATTATTACAGCAATTTGTCGCTAGGCTGTCTAATGCCAGGTTTTGTCCCCCAAATGTGCATTTTGTCTCGTTGTTGTTGTTGTTGTTGTTGCTGCTGTGTGCCTTCAGTTTATGGCAACCCTGCAAAGTAAAATTGGCTGGAGAGTCTTTCCCCAGCGGTCATCTTCCGAGACGCTGGGCCCAGAAGAAGAAGAAGAAAGGAAAGGAAAGGAGAAACCCTTCTTCAATGGAAGAGCTCATAAATTCTATCCAAGGCTTGTCAAAAGGCAGAGAAAGGAACACATGCAAAAATTTAATAAAGGAAGGAGAACAATTGTCTTTGCTTGGAAAAGGCCGCGGGGGAAACGTCTGGATGGATAGAGATGTCTAAATGCTGCGGTCAGTTTATTCTGTGTGTGCGAGACAGAAAGAAAGAGAAAATCTCACACTTCCCGCGTGGGGTGGAGGGCTGGGAAGTCAAACAGGCCATTTCTCCCCTGTTTTCGAGGCAAAGGCTGCATCTGCACTGCAGAAATAATGCAGTTTGGCACCACTTTAATGCCATGGTTCCATGCTATGCAATTCTAGGAATTATAGTTTGCTGTGGCACCAGAGCTCTCCGACAGAGAAGGCTAAATACCTCACAAAACTACAATTCCCAGGATTCCATAGCAGTAAGCCGTGGCAGTTAAAGTGGTGTCAAACTGGATTGTTCCTGCAGTGTGGGTGCAGCCAGAGTGTGTGTGGGGGAAAGTTAGGTTTTTGGACTACCACGTCCAGAATCCCGCACCCATCCAGCCCAGAATCCCCCCAGCCTGCATCCATACCACCTGAGGGATTCTGGGAGTTGGACCCGTAGAACTGATATATAATAGAGTTGGGAGAGACCTTCGGGGGACACAGAATGGTAGAGTTGTAAAAGAAGGGCCATCGATCTACTCCAAATCCCATCACCAGGGCTGCATCTACACTGCAGAAATAATGCAGTTTGATGCTGCTTTAACAGCTACGGCTCCATCCTACAGAATCCTGGGATTTGTAGTGAGGCACCAGCCCCCATGGGCAGAGACGGCTAAAGGCTTTGCAAAATACAGATCCCAGGATTCTAGAGGATGGCATGGCAGCACTTAAAAATGTCACCAAACTGCATCAGTTCTACAGTGTAGATGCACCCGAAGAGGAGAGAGCTTTGCAAAAGTGAGTTTCTCAGGGTCTCCTCGACATTTTCACAGATGGCCAGGCATTTTTCTCGACACCGTAGAGTCAACCGGAGGTTAGGGCAGGACTTTTATCTGAAGACGAGAGGAAAAGAGTGCCTCTGAGTACTTTGCAAGAGATGAGAGGTCAAGTGCAGCTGGGGTTTAAAGCGATAGAAGCCAATCCCTGGACTTGCTGTTGTGTGTCTTCAAGTCGTTTCTGTCTTATGGCGAACCTAAAGCAACCCCATTGTAGGGTTTTCTTGGCGAGATTTGTTCCGAAGAGGTTTGCCATTGCCTTCCCCTGAGGCTGAGAGTGTGTGACTTGCCCAAGGTCACCCAATGGGTTTATATGGCCAACCCGGGATATGCCACCCTCTGCCCAACAGTGGCCAATGCTCATTGTGTTAGTCATAAAAATCCCCCAAACCGTGATCCCTTTATTGGCCAACCCAAATGCACAAGATACTTGTTGCAAGCTTCGCTTGCAACAAGTATCTTGTGCATTTGGGTTGGCCAATAAAGGGATCACGGTTTGGGGGATTTTTTGTTTGAATTTGCTAAACCTGGGATTTGTAGTTGTGCGTCATCTTTTGCCTACTCTATCAAAGAGTGCTGGTACCTTCCAAACTAATAATCCCAGGATTCTCTAGGATGCAGCCATGGTAGGTAAAGAGGTGCCAAACTGCATCCTTTCTGCCATGTGGCAGCAGCCAAGGCTAGCTATCAGGCTGCTGGGAGTTGCAGTCCAGCAAGATCTGAAGGATTCACACCTCTGATGCAGGCCACCTTTATGTCTCTTACCTTTTTCCTCTTTATATCCAAACTGAAAGGTACCAACCAAATCTCCAGAATGGCATACATAGTCAGAGGTTGCTCCTGTTGTCTTGAGGTGCATGCATCTACACTGTAGAAATAATGTAGTTTGACACCATTTTAAGTGCTGCCACAATATCCTATGGAATCCTGGGATTTGTAGTTTCTGGTGCCCCACAAACTACAAATCCCAGGATTCTGTAGGATGGAGCCATGGCAGTTAAAGCAGTGTCAAATGCTATTATTTCCATAGTCTATGCACCTAATTTGGTCTGGGTGCTTCGGTGGGTGTAAGGATAAGGAGGGGAAATAATGAAATTAAATAACTATAGAATTTGTTAGAGACAATCCTGATTAATCCTCTCCCTTCCCACTTTCCCAGCTGCTTTTAAAAGGTCCCAGTTTCTTTTTCCTTCTCCTGCTTTCCCCCTTTGCCCTCAACTTACTTCAGTTGCTGCAAATGAGTTCACAGTGCAAAAGCAGTTTCTTTTCATTTAACTCAACAAAGGAGAGAGGAGAAGAGGGGCAGAATTTGCACTTGCCAGTCAGCTCAGGCAAAAGCAAACTGCTGCAGCCTCTCCAAGCTTGTCTGTTCTTCCTCATTCATAATTTCTGCCATCTTGACCACACTTTGGTGTTGCTTGACCACACGTGTCCCGTTTTTCATCTGTGAAACATTGGAGAGCATCTTTATGCCTAACTCCAGCGTGGCATAGTGCTTTGAGCATTGGATTAAGACTCCAGGAGACCAGGGTTCGAATCCCGGCTTGGCCATGGAGACATTCTGGGTAGCCTTGGGCAGGTGACACTCTCTCAGCCTCAGAGGAAAGCAGTAACTCTTCAAGGTTTCAGAAAGGAGTTTTTCCATGCTCCACTGGGAGATATAGTTTGTTTTCGGGTTATCCAGAGGACTTTGCCTTTCTGCTATAAATCCACCCCGTTTTTGGGATTTTCCAGGAAGGCACTTTTCTGCTTAGAGGTTTAGAAATATTTTGCATTTACAGGAGCAGAGTGAAGCTGACAAGTGCAGTGAATGTATGGCTATAAAAGAGGCGTAAATATTCCAGATGCTCACAACGAAGTAAAAAGGAAACAGCTTTATGGTTTTTGGGATGGAGCTGTGACTCCTCAACTAGAATTAATGGGGCTGTGAATAACTCTGGGAAGAGCGACAGGAAGAACTCCAGCCTGGTGTACGGCTTTCAGCATTGGGTTAGGACTCCAGGAGACCAGGGTTCGAATCCCCGCTCAACCATGGAGACCCCCTGGGTGACCTTACCTTTGGCAAGTCAGAACACTGTAACCTCCAATTTGGATCAAGAAAAGTACTTCAAAATTGTAAAGATACCAAAAAATTGTATTTGTGCAGCAATCAAAACTATTTACGATAGTTCAAAATGACCAATGATGGGTGTTTCAAAAGAGACATGTAGCGCACCATGGAGTATACAACAGAACAATTAGAATAGATCCCAGAATACAGTATACTGAATATACTGGTACGAGAAGTCCAGATGCTATTAAAAGAATGATACCAGCGACTCAGACAAGATAATGCAGTTTGACACCATTTTAAGTGCTGCCGCAATATCCTATGGAATCCTGGGATTTGTAGTTTCACAAGGTCTTTTGTTGTATTTGACCCTGGGCGAGTGACACTCTCTCAGCCTCAGCGGAAAGCCATGGCAACTGCTTCCCCTGAAGAAATCTGGCCAAGAAAATGCTATAGCAGATTTGCAATAAATCAGAATTGACTTAAAGGTGTGGAAAAGCAACTTTAGTACCTGATGTTGCAGGCGGCTGGCTCACATCCAAGCCATCTGCAGGGTTTCCTGCATGGAAAATCTGCCTCGTCTTTCTTCCGCGAAACAGGAATGGAATCTAGTGGGTCCATTCAGGGAAGCCTGCTAGAATCCTGCTCATGGCTTATGCAAGTATTAACCATTCATCTATTGATGGAATTTCTCTCATCTTCCACTTTTTTGCCAACAGGATTCTCGCAGAGTTTATCATATATAATATTACTCTCCAATGTGTATTTTCATCTCGTCTTCTTAATTGGTTTGTCATATTTAACAAATATATCTCAGGTTTCATCTGATCGTTTATTTTCAAGATCTTAGTTATCATTATATGTATTTCCCCCGCAATAGTTCTTGATTTTTGAACACTTCCACCACATGTGTATCAGCGAACCTTGAATCTTTTGACATTTCCAGCACTTGTCTTGTTTTGTCTTATATATTTTTGAGAGATCTCCCATCCAAGTTCTAACCAGGGCTGACCCTGCTTAGTTTCCAAGTGCATGTGCCATCAAGTTGCCTTTCAACTTATGGTGGCCCCATGAATTTCATGGGGTTTCCTTAGGTAAGGAATACTCGGATGAGATTTTACCTGTTCCTTCCTCTGAAATCCCACCTACAGTGCTTGGTCTTCATTGGCGGTCTCCCATCCAAGTACTAACCAGGGCTGACCCCACTTAGCTTCTAAGATCAGACCAAAATCTGATATCTTTAGAGCAGTGGTTCTCAACCTTTGGTCCTCCAGATGATTTGGACTTCCTGACCGTTGGCTAAGTTGGGTGAAACTTCTGGGAGCTGAAGTCCAACACAAATGGAGGACCAAAAATTGGGAACCGCTGCTTTAGAGTACCATTTAGGCCTTAGTTCTGCCTTGAATCTCATTGTGGGAGAATGGCGGGATATAAATCCTTGAAATAATTAAAATAAATCAATAAGTTCCATTGTTAGTTTAATTATATTTGTACTTTTTATATGATGTGAATTTTAATGCTGTATCTGTTTTAACCTTTGAGTTTAAACTTTTAGCCTCGAGTCCTGAACTGGGAAATAACAACAGCTACAAAAATGGTATTTTATTTATATCATGCTTCCCCTTCCCCTGAACTGAGAGAAGCTCACGGTTTAAAAGAATGATACAATTAAAAAATTGCAAAAAGAGATGATGATTGATGATGATGATGATGATGATGATGATGATGATAGTTGTTGTTGATGATGTTGTTGCTGTTGTTGACCACACTCGAGTCGATCTCAGCTCATGGCAACCTGTGGATGAGACATCTCCAAGACTCCCTATGCTCCACTATTTTTCTAAGTTCTTGCAGATTCATGCTGGTAATATTAATTAATCAATTAATCATACCACAGCGCTCAGTCCAAGGAATCTGAATGAAAGGCTTGGAAAGATATATTATATTCCCTTTTTGGGTGGAGTGAGACCTTGGGACTCAAACTCATCATGGAGAGACCTTGGTTTTCCTTGCCTTCTTTCCTTGCCTTTACTTGACTTCTCCATTTCCCCTTTGCTTATGGGTTTCTCTTGCAATGTACCATTCATTTCTTATTCTCTTCCTTTCTGTGTTTCTCCCTTGTTGTTATTGTCTTCTCCTCCGGTTCATGGTCCGGCTGCAGAACCGCAGCTGAAAGGCATTGTCACCAAGCTCTTCTGCCGGCATGGCTACTACCTCCAAGTCCACCCTGATGGCACCATCGATGGGACGAGAGAAGACGCCAACGGTTTCAGTAAGGGCAGGAGGATCTCTTTCTTTGGACTTGGACGTCCAGTCATTTGGGGCAAGGAGAAGGGGATCTTGAATTGGGCCCATCTTGTGACATGAGTGTGACCCACCATCCGCAGTGATGCTCAAACCCAGCATACGAGCGGGACATTCCCCATTTCCATGGCAAAGGCAGTTGGCATATTGCAAACCCTCCTGATTTGGCTGGGACAGTCCCATTGCATCCTCTTCCATTTTGCTTTCTCACCTCCTTTTAAAATGTCCCGGTTTCTCTTCCTCCCACTTCCCTCCCCCCTTTCTCCTCAGCTTTCTTCCATTGCTGCAGAGTGAGTGCAAAGTGCGAAAGGAGTTTGCACTCAGCTGGCTCAGTAGGGAGAGAGGAGAGGAAGGGTGGAATTGTGTTTTAATGTATGGTTTTAATTTCTTCATAATTTAATTCTTCTTTAAGGGGTGGGAGGGTTAGCGCATGGGATTTGGGCATATTTTAACTGTTCCTTGTTTTAATATGTTGTTCGCTGCCCCGATTGCTAAGCAGAGGGGCGTCTTATGAATAAAAATGTATTATTATTATTATTATTATCTCACTCTTCCCAGTCGGCTAAGGCAAAAGCAAACTGTGGCCGATTTTTCTAGCTTGTGCATCTTGGCCACACTCAGTTCTTGCCTGACCACACCTGCCTCAGTTTTCATCTGGGAAATGTTCAGAGACCATAGCATTGCAGAAACTATGGGTTTGGAAGCTTACTTCTGTGTCCTTGTGCATGCACACATGTGCACACATGCACACACAGAGAGAGATACACAGATCCAGCATGGTTGGTTGGTTTTTCCAACCTCCCAATGCATTGGACTGATGAGGAGGAGCCTCCTGCTCCAGAATGCCCAAATCCAGAATCCTTGCATGAGAGGTTCAGAGCTCAAAGAAGTTACTTTTTTAAAAAATAATAATAATAAAAAAATTAATATTTTTTTTTATCCCGCCCCTCTGCAACGCAATCAGGGTGGCTTACAGCATTAAAAACATCCATAATACAACAATATCCTAACCCACCCTCCCCTTAAAAAAGTATTAAACTACGATAACAATTTTTAAAACACAAATAGAATAAAACCAAAACAACAAGGAAAAGTATAACTCA